GCCCAGGCTGGAGTGCAGTGGCCGGATCTCAGCTCACTGCAAGCTCCGCCTCCCGGGTTTACGCTATTCTCCTGCCTCAGCCTCCCAAGTAGCTGGGACTACAGGCGCCCGCCACCGCGCCCGGCTAGTTTTTTGTATTTTTTAGTAGAGAAGGGGTTTCACCGTGTTAGCCAGGATGGTCTCGATCTTCTGACCTCGTGATCCGCCCGTCTCGGCCTCTCAAAATGCCGGGATTACAGGCTTGAGCCACCGTGCCCGGCCTAAAAATAATCTTTAATGTCAACTGATATTTTAATCCAGATTGAACTAGCTCATGGATTTGTCAGTTTCTTTAAACAAATGCTCAGATTTCTCAGTCTGTCCTAAGAGTGCACCTACAAACTTCCTTTCTAGATTCATATTCTGCTACTCTACTATCTCTCTACATTCCAAACACATACAATTTCTTCCAACTCCTTAAGGCCGTATGGGATCATTCTAGGTGATTTTCCCTCTGTCAGAGAGAATTGGACCCAATTATGTTTCAAAATATGTATTTTTAAAAATGTTCCTTGTATCCTCATAAAAGTGAGAGATTTCTCATAATTCTCTAAAGTTAAAATTTTACTTCTGTAACACTATTTCAAAATTTCCTGAACTTCTCTTCTGAAGATCCTAACATAATTAGATTGGATAATCTTTGTATAATTGAGATAGTCATTTTTAGTTCTATTATAAGGTCCCCCATGTGGGCAGGAATATAACTGGTGCTATTTGCCATTGCATCCAAAATTTCTACCATTTAATATTTTGCTACATGTTAACAAATATTGAAATGAATGATTACATGCCATGAAGAAAACAGACTCATAGCACTGTAATCAGATTACAAAATCAATTTGTCTTGGTCCTACAGGCAAAGCAGAATTGAGAGACCCAGGTGTCACTGCTGATGAGCACAAAGGGGTTGAATGCTGTGAAACATGAAACCACTGGCACAGAGATGTTCACCATCCAGTGGCCTGGGATTGCAGCTGAAGTCATCCTAAAGTTAACACGCTATAGATTGAATAAAAGGTGAACAAGGAGCAGACCAGGATTAGGGTAGTGTATGTGACTCTGGCCTCATGGAAAAGTCCGGAGGAGAGTCTGTGATTGTGAATGTGTTGGACTCGCTGCTTGTGCCTGTGCAGGACAAAGACCTTGGAGCCACTGGCCGGGACCATGAAAACCAAACTCACAAAGTCGGGGGAAAAATATGTGATTGCATAGAATAAGTCAAATCTGTCTTGAATTGCACAGGAACAGACTCTATAATTTGTTTCTTCCTTAAGGTTTTTCCTGTTCAATGGACCAGTCACTATTTTAAGAATACATGTGTTCATCAAGAGATGCAAAATCCAGCACAAGAAACAAGAGAAGCCAATGACCTTTGGGGATCTAATCTTGAGGTCCATCACCTCCATATCCTGGGGTTGAACTTAATGGCTTGGAAGCCATTGAGGAGGCAGATACTGCTGAAGGAAACCCCTGTGCCTAGTCTGTAATAATAAAAGAAAGTTTACATCCTGCATCATCTAGGAAATATTTTGACGCAAAGGCCTCCATTATTTGAGGTATCCCTTTGTAGGAAAGGACCAAGCAGTTGCCTTAGGTCAGTTGGTTAAGAATCAGGTCTGTGGGTCTCAACTTCTGTCCAGTGAGCAAAGGGAAGCTGTAAAGACAAAGGAGTGAGGAATTTCCCAGGATCCCAATTCCAGTCTATGCAAGGAAGATTTCAACTTTTCAAACTCAATTGCTTCGATACCTAGGATGTGTTGATTTCAGTTGAAGTCAGAAGAATAAGTAGGGGGAAAAAAAAATAGATGTCTTACCATCACCATGGAGAGTACTTTTCTGTGCTTATCCTATTGCATATTTCCCACTTTAATTGAGCATTGACACTTTATGGATACTTGCCCAAAGGCAGTTCCTGAAAAACTGCATTGGAAATAGCCTCAGTCTCCATCTACAAGAGTCTGGGTGAATGAATGAGAGCAAAACTGCACAACAGATCGCCACAACTTTAGAGATTAGTAAAGATCTCTGTATATCTGTCCCATCA